AGTATAGATGAAAAATAAATAAAAAGACTGAATCGCAGAAAATGTTCTAAAAATGCTTAAAAACTACCCTGATGGCAATGAGGAAAAAGCTATTATTAAATAATATAAATATTATAATGGGGATTTATTCTTCAATACTGCCTATTGTTCTTATGAACTAAATCTGCACTTGTCTGTTTTTGGTTTTCAGACGTGAGTCCTGTCTATATAAGACCTTACAGCTCACAGTGCATGTCAGAGCACTATAATAGATATCTACAACTATAATAGATATCTACAACTACATCTTGCAACAAATTATTTCATACCACATAACAAGAAGGATCCTGCATTGGTTTTAAAAATATGTTTTTGGCAAGAATCAAAGGCCAAGTTCTGCAGATGAGAAAGGCCTCCATGAATATATGTATGAATGGGACGAAAAGAAAAGTTTACAAAAATAATAATTTGTATCCCACATAAACACGCATAAAAGCATTAACCTTACTGCAGGAAGTATTTCATATAGACTAAATGTAATTTTTTAGAGACCAAATAGAATTAGATATTCGCAGTAAGCTGTACGAAGTGTCCTTTTATGTGTTTTTGTTCCAGTGCACTCAGTCCATACATAAATGATTTATCAGATCGAGTGAAATGCAGGAGAGAGATATGTGCATGTCATGAGAGGCTAAAAACCCGCAGGCCATCCGCCAATGAATGCTGAAGTCTCCACCGGACCACAATCCTCTGCTTCTACTCTGGAAATCACTAATAAAACTCATAACTGCACATGAAATCACTTATTATTGAACATGGTAAACATGCTGCATCTTGTCAATCACACCAAACCCTCTGCAGGTTTTGACATCAGACCAAACAAACAGTCTTTTTACCTGCACATTATGTCAGAATCCATTTTACATTCTGGTCAAATCTCTTCAGTTATAAAATGGCTTTGAAGCATGAAATTATACATCTGCTTGCACAAAGGAAATACTTTTCTATTCGCTTCTTCTTTTCAATGAAAAAGCCATTTTCTTGTTAATGTGAACAGCCTAATTACAGGGAGAGGGCCAATAATCAAATTGTAGACTTGGTTTATTAGTGTAAATTCAATAATCATGTTATTCATTGCAGCACTGTTTAGAGTTCACTGAGTATAAAACATTCCAGTGAACAAATCATGACAGGAAGTCTAACGCTTTAGCAAACGTATCCCTCATATACTCCGACCACAGATTAAAAGCACTTTGCTGGCAAAAGTACATACTTCATGAGGATATATTCAGAAAACATGCAGAACTGTCAAAAATCTACCAGATAAAAATGAATGTGCAAGATTTTTCAGCGAATATATGTATACAGGTTTGGGAAAAACATTCTTTAAATAATAAATATTTGATGTGTACACACACACACACACATACATATATATATATATATGTGTGTGTGTGTGTGTGTGTGTACGTTTAAGTACTGAAAAAATTTAACAGAAAAACTATAAACTACAAAAAAAGGATTTGAAAAAAATATTATATAAAGGTGAATAAAATAATTACAATTAATCTTCAGAAGACAGTCTTCGGAAATCAGAATGTTAAAAAGGAATAATAATAATAATTTAATAATAATAACATAACATGTAAACTTTTTTTCTGTTAATTACATTTTCTGCAGACCCCCAGCACCTCTATTGGGACACTAACATTTACATGTTACAATAACATTTAAAAAAAAATCTACATCCAAGATGCAGATGAGTTTGTTTTTTCATTACATCACTTGCTCACCAGTGGATCCTCTGCAGTGAATGGGTGCCGTCAGAATGAGAGTCCAAACAGCTGATAGAAACATCACAATAATCCACAAGTAATCCAGACGACTCCAGTCCATCAATTAACCTCCTGTGGAGTACTTGTGGATTATTGTCATTCTGACGGCACCCATTCACTGCAGAGGATTCATTGGTGAGGATTTCACATGGTGCAAATGTGAAAGAACACTGAACACTGAAACACTCAAAAAAGCAGAGAAATGTATGGCCAGACAGCCTTAATGAACAGGAGAACATCTGTGACCCCCCACACGACTGTCAGACTGAATCACATCTCCGGTCGCCAGAGGTTCTGGGAAGGTGATAACCTGACCATCCCTCCCTGTACTTTACTGCACATACAGCTGCTCTATTGTTTTAGCGTGTCAGTATGTCTTATTGCACTAACACGGGCTGTCAGATTACCGCAAAGCCGGTGGTGAATCAACAAGTTCCTCTCATCAGAATGTCATCAGTGTAACACTTTACACACCTCACCTGCAATTACCTCATGCACCCCCTCCACACACACACACA